GCTCGGCCCCGGGAGGCCCCCTGTCACAGCTTGCAACGAAGAATGTTTCCAACTATTTGAGTTGGTCTAATAAAAGATATCAGATTTACCGAAAGAACCTTGTCAATCTGTTGTATGTGAGAATATATGATATTTTTGTATTACTTTTATAGCAGACACAACCAGGGTCCAGAGCTCCTTTCCTCTTAGTACCATATGAACTCAGGATAAATTTTCTTTTATTTAGAAGAACTGAGGGCTGGGAGGAGGCCTCCTGGGTCACTGAGTTCACTTCTCTATATTTGTAGGCATCCATCCCCTCCGGCCGAGGACAGTCATGAGTTTGAACAGCCCCACATTAGGTGCATTACAGACATCCAATTGAATTTGGGACCTCATTATGTGTACAGGCAGTCCTCGGACTTACGACACAATTGGTTTCTGAAAACTGTGTCTTAAGTGGAAATGTTGTAACTCGGAACCAATTTTCTCATAAGAAACAATGTTATAAATGGGGGATTGGTTCCTGAACCAAGGCCCGATACCCTATTTTCACCAAAAATACCCCAGAATTTTGTACTCGATCAATTATAGATGAATAATATGGCTAAAATAACAAATTTATATTGTAAATAGCAATCATATTGATTTGGAAGGACTTCTCTGAGGTGACTTTGCTGGACTTTTTGAAGGGTTCTTGGCTGGAGTCTTCTCAGGAGTCTTGGCTGCAGGTTTTTCTGGAGTCTTGGCTGCTTTCTTCAAGGAAGTGTCCAAGTTTGGACTGATGTTCTCCAGGGAGATGAGCGATGCAACAAGCTTGTTCAGTGGCATGGTGTTGCATTGGATCAAGCATTGTAAAGTCCAAACTGACATCATCAAGTTGAAACAGGGTGTCAATTTATAAATGGTGTAAGTACGAAACGTTGTAACTTGAAATGTTTCAAGTCGAGGACTGCCTGTATATTAGAGTCGTTAATTCCCATGGAATGAGTTGCAATCAAAGCTGTCCAGGGATGGGAGGGAGAGCAGAGAGAGGAAGCAGTTGATTAAGCTTGAAAGAAGACAACAGCAGAGTCAAAATTAAACTCGGGTGTCCTGAGGCCATATCCAGTGACTTGTTCACTCAGTCTTTCAGCTCCTGGTGTGAAACGAGTCCTGGGAGGTCTCAGCTCTGATTTCAGGTGTGTAGTAATTCCCATTATTATGTGATTCGGGGTAATGTACAGAGATCTCAACTGAGTTTGGGATCTAGTGTGTGAGAAGCTGCACACTCATGTAACACGGGAATCCTTGATTATGTAATTATGTAGGTCATGATCTAAATAGACAAAGGGGTGGAAGGAGAATGGGCGGCGGGGCGGGGTGGAGTGAGGGAGGGGGAGTGGAAATGACCTGCCTGATGTTGCAGCAGGTCTGTAGAAGAGCTGGGAAAGAACCTGGGTGTCCCAACCCACATGCAGAGCCCTGTTGCCAAGACCGTAAAGCCACCAGTACAATCACTGAATTGTAGAGACATTATCATTGTTGTCATTTGCAGTCCCTCAATTCAAGTATGATCATGGCTCATTATGGCTCTTGGGGTGACTTCAGAGTCCAATCCTTGAGTCACAGATCTGTCCACAGAAGTTGCAGGTATTTCCATAGAGGAGAGTGGGCCCTAGCTGGGATTCCTCTCCTTTTCCTTCCTCCACTCTCTCTTCTCTGCCTTGAAGGCAAGATGCTTTAGAACTGTTTGAATAGGGATGATCTTCCCTCAGGCAAGGGTTGGACTAGAGGACCTTTGGAGGTCCCTTTCAGCTCTACTGCATTACAACTCTCTGTGGACCAAGACCTTGTAGGTGTGGAGAAACTTGCATATCCCAGTGATCCTCAAAGCTTTTTTTTTTCTTCAAAATCTCACTGTTCTGGCAGGGTCACCTGTGGCAAAGAGGCCTGAAGGGAGGTTCCAGATAAACCCCAAGTGCTGAATGGCAAACCAGCAGCAGAAAATGTCAGGATCTCAATGACTGTAAAGACAGAAGAAGGCTGCAGCAAGATGGAGGTCTCCTTTCATCTAGGTTCTCCCTTGCCACTGGGTCCAGATCTCCATGTTGTTAAGATCACATGGTGGTTGTTTCTGTGCACCAGCTTCTGCAAATTAAACAGTCATGTGCAGGCTTCTATCACAGGAAACAGCATGCTGTCCTGTACCAACCTTCAAAAACCTTGCAGTGATGGACCAGTGGAAACAGAGACAGGACCAGTGAATCCGGCAGTTTCCAGCTATGAATCTGCATGAAGACAGCAGTAGTCTGATGGTTATCTTGCACCTGGATTGAGACAGGGGTCCAATTCAGCAGCTGCTACTGTGGCTGAGCAGTCCTATCCAGGATCCTCTCTGCTCACCCTATAGAGGAAGGGGGCTAGAAGATGTGCTCTAAACCCAAGCTGTCCTATCAGCTTCTGGCTGAGTAGCCACGTCTAGTGTGATCGCTCTCTCTGTGGTCGAACCCATCATAAGACAACAATGACCAAGCCGGGAGTGTTTCTTGAAGAAACATTCAAACCCTCATGGCACATCTAGGTTGAATGTGGGGATGGACCAGGCAGGGATCTCTTGCCCATGTTATGCTAGAGGTTGCACTGCATGGTGTCAGCAGTCCCACCTCCACATATAAGCTATACAAATTCCAGCATGGAGTGCTACACATGAAGTAGCACAGTGAATAAAGGCAACAGACTCAGCCTTCTGCTTTCTGTGTCTCAGGAGTGGTACTGGCTGGGTTCTAAGCTTTGAAGGAGAAGGATAATGCCAGTTGTTCCTCTTCATTCTGTCCATCCATCTTCATCCTGCCTCTGCCTCTTTCCTTCTTTCCTACAGCTTGACAAATGAAAGCAAGGTCCTTGGCAGCTTCTACATGGCTGTAGCTGCTGATGGTATTTTCCAGTGTTCAGAACCCAAAGCTGGGAAAGCAGCAGGCATCTGTCTGTACTCATGGGGCTTTTCATGGTGAAGTTTGAACGGAGCTTTGTAGTCATCACAAAAAACCATAGAGATTTGGCTTTCTACTGTGCATGAATATGTGTGTTTAGTTCTCTAGTGCCCTCAGCTGGCATCGAGTCAATTTTTTGCACAGTAAAAAAGAAAAGAAAACAAAAACTGTCTACTTCCCCTGTGGCTTGATGTTCAGGAGTTGCGAAGAATTTGTGTGTTTACCAAAATACAATGAATGGAAAAAACCAAGTCACTGCCTTTCAGGAGTGAAAGATGCTCTTTGTGGTTCTAACAGAGTCTCAGCCTCTCATTATACACTATACAAAACATCCATCTATCCTATCTACTTCTAATTATAACTCTGTCTTTTATATATCTATCTAC